CCGGCCACTCTCAAAGTGAGGGCTGTGTCCGTCCCCTGAGTCTGCTCTACAAAGTGCCACACACCTACTCGCCTAGACAATGCAGTTCTGGAGGCCAGAAGCCCGGAACGGGCTCCACGGGGCTAAACGCCCGGCTGGGCAGGACTGTTTCCTTCTGGAGGCTCCAGGAGAGGATCTGCTCCCTCCCCTCCCCAGCGTCCGGAGGTGCCTGCATTCCCTCCAGCTCTCCTCAGTTCCTGGCCCTGTCGTCTTCCATCCTCGCAGGCTCCTGGGATGAGGACACGGACGTCTCTGTGGCTCACAAGGAGGGGAGAGGAGGGGAAGGCAGAGTGGGCTCGCTGGGTGCCCGGTGCCTGGGGCGGGGCACAGGGGTCAGGCAGTGAGGGCGACCTTGAAGCCCGGGCTTGAGCTGGAAGCATCCATCTGAACCCAAGGCTGACTTTTCTCTCCACCGGATGGGCCTGGGCACAAGGGCCCCCTGGGCACAGGGGTCTAGCAATGTCACCATGCAGAAAGGACCAGAGCAGCGGCTGAGCCCGGCGGCGGGGAGGCAAGAACACGGGGTCCCAGCTGGGGGCCGCCCACCAGACTCGGCCCATACGGGGAGGGTCCCGCCTGCCCAGCGGCTGATTCGAGCTTCACCCAGGAAAGGAAGCCAAGCGGTTTGAAACCCAGTCTGTGTGTTGAAATTCCTGCACAACGATGCTTTCAAAATTACTGGTCATTTTCAGAAGAACCAACTCTTTCTTTTGAAAACTGATGAAGAACCACACACTCACTCTCCCGTTGCCACATGACACGGCCACCGGAGAACCCGTGTGTGAGGCTGCTGCGGCTGACAGATGGGGAAGGGGCCACAGAGCTGAGAATCTGTGGGCAGGGGCCCCAGGGAGGTAGCAACCCTCGGCGTTGATCGTGGGAGGCTGCTCACACCACACTCTCGCGGAAGGGCACACCACCACCCACAGCGCCGCCTTGCTAGGAAAAGCAACCAGAACCACCTGGTTCCCAGGAATGGGGACGGAAGAACAAACTTAACGCCACCGCAGGACACACAGCAAAATGCAGACAGTGGAGACGGGTCACAGGACGACCACAGAACTGCAGGGAAGCGAGGACGGATGGGGGAGGAGCCTTTCCATGCAATGAGCCCAGTGGCCATGCCAGGCAGGTGAGCTGTCTGTCCTTGATGGAGCCACCGACCCAAACCAACCCCAAAATTTAGAGACGGTCAGGCACGTGTGGCCGCTGAATGGCATTGGAGAGCCACGGTAATTTCTCAGTGCGATAACAGTTTTGTGTTCAAAGGATTCCACTTACATTAAACTTCTAGAAAAGGTAAAGCTACAAAAAACCGAGTTTCTACATGAAAAAAAAAGGGGGGGGCACCATTCCCGCAGGAAGAACCGCACTGACCGGGAGAGAGCGCTGGTTCCTGCACCAGGGGACCTCTTCAGAACGGCAGGGTGGGGAGAGGGGATCTGGGTCAGGCGGGCCACGGGGGAACCGATAACAGAATCCACTCCAGAGGACTTAAGCACAACGAGGTTTACTGAGAGTTCAGGGGCAGTGGGGAGGACAGTGAGTCACACCTGAGACCCAGCTTCCGGAAAGACGGCTCCAGAAACCATGCCAGGCTCCTGCTTGTGCTGGGAGCTCCCACCACTCCAGAATGTTCCATCTCTGCCCGGGACTGCCCGAGCAGCCCCGCCTCCTCCCCAGGGGACCGGTCCAGGATCAAAGCCTCGCATACATGCTTTGTGGGGAGCTCGCTGCCGGAGTCCAGTCGGGGGGGGGGGGGGGGGGGGCAGCCAGCCAGCCAGGCAGGGCCGGTGGGGCATGCACCGAGGGGGTCCCAGTGCCCGTGGCCGGGGCCCCGCCGTGCCACTCAGAACTCCCAGGAGAGCGCGCCTCGCACCCGGGCTTGACTTTGCCGATGGCCTTCCGCTGGCCCGGGGTGGAGCTCTGCGGTTCAGCCCAGCCCCACTCCAGCCCCTGCACACAGGCCTTAGACCCCTGTGGGAATGCTAGCCGCCCCTGGGCTGCGCCTGTGGCCGACCCTTTAACCCCCGGAAGCCCTTCATCTCCTCCCCGCAGCCGCTGTCCATTAGGAAATACATCCAGGCCAGGCTTCCCCAAACTCACATCCACTTTAAAACTGTCCCTCCCACCCCGCTGCAGGCCAAGCTGGGGACTGGTGGCCCTGCGGGGGGAGGTGGCCCCGGGTTCCAGGCTGTAGGGTAGGGTGAACAAGGGAAGCTGTTCCGTGTCCGCAGGGGCCAGCAACCCCAGTCCTGGCCCCGCAGCCATCCTGGGGTGCCCGTCCTGCCTCCTACAGCCCACAGGCAGCTCCCAGGAGTGGCCTGGGAAGGGCTTCGGGAGCAGAGCTGGGACCCCCCCGATCCCAGCACGGAGAGCCCCTGAGTGCCAGGATGGCCCATCCCTAACACTGGGCCACCCGAGGGACTGAACCTGAAACCCAAAGAGGAGGGAGGCTGGGGTGCCAGGAGGCACCCTCCTAGGGGGCCCCCTCCTAGGGTCAGGGTCGGGGTGGGGCTCTTGATACCAGGAGCACCGGTGGAGAGACTGGGGACCGAGGGAGCAGCCCAACCAGACCAGCTGGGCTGGGTGACCAGGCCCCCACCGGTTCCACCAGCCCCTCCCTGGCCCTCTTCCCCACGCTGGCCCTGAGGTCTCCCTCAAAGCCAGAGTGCCAACACCGACCCCCATGGGAAGGAAGGGAGGCCCTGTCACCCCCCCAAGCAGGGGTAGCTGTTCCAGCTCCCTGCCCCATGGGGAGCCCCAAAGTCACCCTGCCCTGACCCCTGACCTGTGAAGCGTTACCTCCTGTGGCCAGGGCGCTCAGCAGCCCAGGCCATGTGTCTGTATAAAGTGCTCTGAGAGTCCCCATTCGGATCACAGTGAGAGTCAGGGGCCACCTGTGTCCCATAGGGCTGTGACCCCCCCACCCCGACAGACAGGAACCCCCTTTGTCCCGTACCTGACACCGTCAACACTGATTCTGTCAACGAGGCCAGCTTGACCGTCCCCCCGCCCAGTCTCTACAGATTTCAGGGTCGGGGTGCGGGCTGAGTCAGCTGTAGGGCCCATGGGGGCTTCCAGGGATATGCGCCCACACGCGGCAGCAAGGCAGGGGCTGGGCGCAGCTGGGGTGTCGTCCTGAGGCGTCCCTCAAGGGGAGAGAAAGGGAGGGGGAAAAGAGGAGAGCAGAGGGCTCCCCGGTACCAGGGCTGTGAGCTCCCATGAGCAGGAAGGAGCTCCGCGGTCCTGGAGTTTAGGGACCTGGTGGGGTTCCCTGGAGGGAGGTGTCCACTCTGGGATGCCTCCCTGTGAAGGGTGATCCCAGAAAGGCCAGGAGGGCCAGGCAGCCCTGGTGTGTCCGGGGTCCTCGGAAAGGGGCAGCGCCACCCCACACTCCCCATACACCCGCCCTCCACGAAGAGCCTGTATTGGGTGGAACCCAGGCTCTGGGCTGATTCCGGCATAAGAGGAAATGGTGAGCTTCCAGGCAGGGGGACAGGTGCCCCCACCCCAGAGCTAAGGCCCCGCCCTCCATTCCCGCACCCCTGGCTTGGGCGGTGGGCACAGAAGCAGGGTGCTAGCCTGTGGGACGTATTCAGGGGCATCACTGGAAAAATCAGGACCTTGTGTGGAGGGGCCTTCTGTGCGTCAGCTGTGCGGTCTACATCTCTGAATCGTGGCACGGCGGGAGCCGCGTTCAAGGCCCACTTGAGGTCATGGGACGCTCTCCCGGTGCAAACCACCCTCTGTTGTAATTCCTTCTAAGCATCTGCTTCATGAGGTTCGGAACCTGCACATACCTTCAGTTCATAAGCAATTTATCCCTATTTGCGCTCCCCCCCATACACCTGAAGCAATTTAAAAATAAGTACTCTTACAAAAGACATCAAAAAATAAAACTAGAAAGACGGCTCACGCTACGTAAGTGCAGGTAACATGTACCCTGAACGTCAAGGGGCACGGCTGAGGGAGTGTGAGTTAGCTCTGAGGTTCTGAGGTTCCCTGCGGCAGAGGTGAAGACGGGCGGAGGCGGGGGGGTGGGGCAGGGAGCTAGGCAGAGATTTCCCATTGCTGGAGGAAAGGCAGCGTCCCGCTGACCGGCCCGGACACGCCGACAGCTGTCCTCCTGTCCTGGAGAAGAAGCAGCTTTCGGACTCCGTGAGTAGAGGGGCGAGGCACGCTCCAGACCCAGGACGCCAGGCCTCCCCCCAGACCAGGCACAGACGGTGGCGGCACTCGGGGCAGGGACACACCACCCCCCGCCCCCCAGAGATCCACTCTGGGCCCTTCTCAGGTCTCTATCCATGGTTTTCTTGGTTTGGGAGCCCCCTCTCCCCGGCTGGAATCTTGGCACACGTGTTCCTCTTGGCAACACTCTGAGAATAAACAAAGTTGTTCAAAGGTCAGTTTGAACTGCACTTTGCACTTACCTCTCGAGAAAAACCTGGTCTCTACTACTTTGCTCTGGAAAGAGTTCTGCGGTCACATGCGTTCTGGAAGTACTACCCGGGGGACAAGCTAAGTCAGTTCTGCCTTCCGCAGAGGAGTCTACACCCCGCCGTCTGCGGGCTGACCTCATGCGCGTGGAGCGGAGCCTTGCTTCTCGGAGTGCAACTCACACCCTCCAGGCGCCACACGGATGAGGCCGGCAGAGCCCAGGGGACACGGAATGTCACTGACAGATGGCCTGGTTTGAAGTCCCTACGGGGTCACTGCCTGACTGTGGCTGGGGGCAATGCTGCTTCTCCGAGCTCTGGCTTCCTGGTCCGTGCAAGGGCCCGATGGTCACGTTTTGGACTTGATGTAGGGTGCGGTGACTTCAGTGCAACCCAGGGGAGGGCTCTGGGGGGGGGGGGGCTGTGAGGACCCACTGCTCGGGGCCCAAAAAGCGCGGGTCAGCCGTCACCTGCTACAGAAGTGACGGGGGACAGGTGCTGCTCTGCTTCGTCCAGCAGGCACTAGGGCACGGGGCCGATGGGGTCCTTGGACGCGGGGGCGCTGGGCAGGGACTTCAGGTACTCCAGGTGCCGCCTGGCGTCCTCCTGGTTCTGGCGCACGTAGTACACGACGTAGGTGATCACCATGGCGAACCAGCCAAACATGGTGACCAGCATGGCCACGTCCGTGGTCTTGCGGTGGGTGCTGCAGAAGCTGACCCCGGAGTCCAGAGCCTGGATCAGCGGCTTCCCCACGAACTCCTCCTGCGCGGCCGTGTGGCAGGCGATCTCGTCCACGGACTCGGGGTCCAGCTTGAGCTCCCACAGGGCCTCCTGCAGCGCACACTCGCAGTGCAGGGGGTTGTGGGAAAGGCGGACCTTGGCGCTCAGCTTGCCCAGGGCGTCCTTGGGGATCCTGCGGATGCGGTTACGGGACAGGTCCAGCAGCCGCAGGCCCCCGGCCAGGCCCGAGAAGGCAGCAGGGCCGATGGTCTCGATGAGGTTCTGGGACAAGTCCAGCTCCCTCAGCTGGTGCAGGTACTGGAAGGCCCCGTTAGGGATGTGGCTGAGCTGGTTGGCATCCAGCTTCAGGAGCACAGCGTTGGCGGGGATGTCCTTGGGGATCTCCTGCAGGCCCCTCGCGCTGCAGTGGACAGCCACGGCCCCGGCGTGCTCAGGGCACTGGCAGCTCTGCGGGCAGGACGCGCCCAGGCGCAGGCAGAAGAAGAGGATGAGGCAGGACCCTCCCGAGGGGACGGGCAGAGATGAGGGGCTCTGCTTGCCCACGGGGCTCATGCTGACCACACCTGGGGACAGAGGGCAGTCTCCTCCCTCGGGGGGCCGCAGACCTCCGTTCTCCCTCACTCCCGCAGCCACCGCTGTGCAGGTGACCGTCGCGCGGGCATCAACACTCCCTCCGTCGGAACTAGGGACAGCCGTGTTCTCTGGCTCTAAAAGAGAGCAGCGATCAGTGTCGCGGACAGCGGTCCCGCAGGGAGCCCCAGGGCACACTCTGACTTTGGGGGGAGATGTCACGGGCACCCTGAGGCGTCTGACCAGCGGGTTGGGGTGTCTCTAACTTATTTCCAGAGATTCCCAAGGCCACCCAGAAGAGCAAGGGCCGGTCGCGCTGACCGCTGGCTGGGTCCAGGAACACCAGACACACCCAGGGCACACCTAGGCGAGCAGGGGCCGGCTCGGCCGGGCCAGGGGCCGCCGCTCTAACCCCCACGGCTGGAAACTGGAAGAGAGGCCGCAGGGTTCTCCGGGGTGCGGGCAGCGGAACCGGCAAACCCGCGGGGCGCGCTCGGGGCCCGCCGGGCGGGCGGCGGTGGCCGGGGCGGCGGCTGTCGGGGACCAGCGCTTGCCCCCCGACACCCCGCGCGGGGCCGCCCGCATCCGGAGCCCTTCTTTGTCACCCGCGGGGGCGAGCACGCGGCCGGGGGCGGCGCCCAGCCTCTCGGTTGTGCCGGAGCAGGAAGGGAAAGGAGAAAAGCCAAGCCGTGGCGCGCGGCCGCGCTGGGGCGTGAAGTGGCGGGGCCGCGCGCCGGGCCTGCAGGGCGGGGCCGAGACCCCAGACCCGCGACCCCGCGACCCCGGGCGGCGGGCGGGCGCGGCGGGAGCTTTACCTGCACGGTTGCGTCTGGAGGCCGCTGTGCGCGGGGCTCCCGGCACTCGAAGCCCGACCCGGAGCCACACCCCGGCGCGGAGGCGACCCCGGGCCTGAGCCCACCGCTGTGGCCGCTCGGGACACACGCGGCTCCGCCTGCGGCTCCGCGGGGCGGGGGCGGGGCTCGGGGGCGGGGCTGCGAGGGCGGGGCGGGGCGGGGCGGGGGCCTGTAGGCGGGGCGGGGCTTGAGGCGGAGCTGTGAGGCGGGACTGGACGGGGTCTGGAGGCGGGGCCTGAGGCAGCGGAGAGGCTGGGCGGGGCTTGAGGCGGAATCTGGGACGGGGCGGGGCTTGAGGCGGAGCTGTGAGGCAAGATGGGGCGGGGCCTGAGGAGGTGGAGGGGGAATCGGGCCGGGTCTTGGATGGGCGTGGCCAGGACGGTGCAGGAAGACCAGGGGCCGGGCCTGGGGCGGGGCCGGGGTGAAGTGTGGGGTCTGTGGGACGCGAGCGGGGTGGGGCGGGGGTGGAGATCACAGGGGCTGTGAGCCGGGGCTGAGGGCGGGCCGTGCGGCCGCAGGCCCCGCCCCTGCCCGTGCGGCTCTGGTTGGGGCTGGAGGCAGAGCATCCCTGCGGCCCGCTGCCCCGCGCCCAGCCCAGGCTGGTGGGTGCGGTTGGGGCTTCGCGGGGCTGCGTCCGGCCGCGGACCTGGGCTGCGGGGTGGGAGTGAGCGGGCATCTCGCGTTTCAGCGGGGCCGGAGCCGTCTTCGGGGTTTCAGGGAGCCACGTGGTGTGGTGACCCCAAAGCCCCGCTGACGTTGGCCGCGTCCGACATCCGCGCGCCCGAAGGCCGGCACCGCAGTCAGCCGCCGGCCGGGGCCCCTTCCCCGCTTCCAGGCGAGCGCGGCCTGTGGGTCACTACGGGTCACTGCGGGTCACTGCGCCCCGGCTCGCAGGTCCGGAGTCCGGTTGTGGCCCACTTCGCGCTCCTTCCGCCCGCCCGGCTGTCCGCACCTGTCCCCGGGGGCGCGACGCGGCGGTGACGCGCTGTGCAAATGTCCCAGCCTGCGCTTCTCGGCTGACCATGCATCTGGGGTCGGTTTGGGATCCGACTTGGGATCCAGCTCAAGGTGGCTCGTTTCTGCCTGCGGTTACCCTGTTTCCGGCTGTTTGTTCCAGCACTGACCCCTCCCTGCTGGGCGGCCTTTGTGCCTCTGTTAAAATGCCCGGTCCTGTGTGTGCGCGTGCGCTCTGTTTCATCGGTCTGTTTGCTTGTCCTTTAAAGGATTTTACTCATTTATTTAGGGAGTGGGGGGAGGGAGGGGGAGGGAGGGAGAGAATCCTATGCAGACCCCCACTGAGCACGGAGCTGGACCAGGGCCTCCTTCTCCCCAGCCTGAGACCATGACCTGAGCAGAAATCAACAGTCAGGCGCTTAGTCGACTGAGCCACCCGAGCACACTCCTATCTGCTCCTTTTTACGCCAATTTTCCAAGCGGTCTTCCTTGCTGTAGCTTTGTGGTTCTTGAGTCAGGTAGTACCACCCTCCACTTTTTGTTCCTTCATAAAGTTCTTTTTCGTTATCCTAGATGCTGTGCACTTCCTCATGAGCGTTAGAACAGCTTGTCAGCTTCCAGCAAAAAAGCCTGGTGCGTTTTGTTTGGTATCCCACTGAATCCGGACATCAGTTTGAAAAAGTTGATACCTTGACTATCCAGAGTCCTTCAGTCCATGAACATGGTATACCTTCCCATTCACTTAGAACTGCTTTTGTTTCTTTCAGCCCTGTTTTGTGGTCTTGCGTCTCCCGTCATATTTATTTCTTGTAATTTCATGTTATGTTAATGGTATCTTTATTTCAGTTTCCGCTTGCTAAATGCTAATATATAGAAATAAAACTGATTTTTGTATACTGATCTTAACTTTGCTAAAATCGCTTATCTGTTCTAGTAACTTTTTTACAGATACCTGAGGATTTTCTGCATATACAATCGTGCTATCTGTAAATAAAAAGAGTGTTCTTTTTTTCCCAGACTGGATGACTTTTACTTCAATCTCTAATTTCTTTGGCTAGGGCCTCTAGTTCAATACTGAATGGGAAGACTGAGAGCATATCTCCTTGTTCATCCCAATCTTGGAGAGCGTCCAGTCTTTAAAAAATAATGTTAGTGGTCGATTTTCTTTTTCTTTTCTTTTCTTTTCTTTTTTTTTTCTTTTTTTTTTTTTTTTGGTAGCTGTTCTTATCAGTAAGAGGACATTTCCTTGTGAAAATAGAGGAAACCTCTTGCAATTGGAGTCAGGAAGCCCCAAAGAAGCACTGGTCCTTGCAGCCTGCATCGCCACCAGGGAGGAGAAGATAAGAGTTATCTTGAAGAAGGAGGACATTTTCCCCATAGGAATTTAATCTCCTGCTCTTAAAAAAAGGAAGGAAGACCCCTCGCTGCCCTAGCAATGACACACGAACTAACCACCACTTACCACCAATGAGGAAATGCCACAAACGTGAACTCTTGTTTTCTCCAATAAACTCTTCAAAACAGCCCTTCTCAACTTTCTCCTGAAACCAAATAAGAACTGACCTTCCCTTTGTCTCTTTGGAACTGCCTGTGGCTCACCTTAGTTTGCCTCGCTCCAGACTGCAATTCCTCTGCTATTCCTGAATAAACTCAGTTTGCTAGTAACATAGCTGGTCGTTTTATTTTTAAGGTTGATATCTCCTATTTCTAGTTTGCTGAGAGTTTTTTTAAATCAGGAAGTGTTTTGGATTTTGTCAAATGTCTTTTCACCCATTGAGAACTTTTTAAAAATTAATATATCCTTATGGAAGATTATATTAACTGATTGGCAAGTTTTGAATTAACCTTGTGTCCTTGGAATGAATCCCACTTGGTTATGCTGTATCATTTGTTATATGTTGATACATTATTTAAAGAGATAGAGCTACTGAGGTTATATTTTTTCCTTGACTGAATGTTGATAGTTCATCTCTCTCAAGGAATTGTCTGTTTCCACATAGATCAATGGAACAGAATAGAGAACCCAGAAATGGACCCTCCACTCTACGATCAACTAATCTTAGACAAAATAGGAAAGAATAGCCAATGGGAAAAAGACAGTCTCTCAACAAATGATGTTGGGAAAATTGGACAGCCACATACAGAAGAATGAAGTAACATTTTCTTATACCACACACAAAAATAAGCTCAAAAGGATGAAAGACCTAAATGTGAGACAGAGATCCATCAAAATCCTAGAGGAGAACACAGGCAGCGACCTCTGTGACCTCAGCCACGGCAACTTCTTGCTGGGCGTGCCTTCAAAGGCAAGGGACGCAAAGGCAAAAATGAACTATTGGGGCTTCATTAAGATAAAAAGCTTCTGCATAGCAAAGGAAACAGTTGACAAAGCCAAAGACAACCGACAGAAGGGGAGAAGATATTTGCAAATGACATATCAGATAAAGAGCTAGTATCCAAGATCTATAAAGAAGTTATCAAACTCGGGGCGCCTGGGTGGCTCAGTGGGTTAAAGCCTCTGCCTTCGGCTCAGGTCATGATCCCAGGGTCCTGGGATCAAGCCCCGCATCGGGCTCTCTGCTCAGTAGGGAACCTGTTTCCCTTCCTCTCTCTCTGCCTGCCTCTCTGCATACTTATGCTCTCTGTCTGTCAAATAAATAAATAAAATCTTAAAAAAAAAAAAGAAAAAAAGAAGTTATCAAACTTAAGACCAGTAATCCAGTGAAGAAATCAGCAGAATACATGAATAGAATTTTCTCCAAAGAAGACATCCAAATGGCCAACAGACACATGAGAAAGTGCTCCACATCATTTGGCATCAGGGAAATACAAATCAAAACCACAGTGAGATCCCACCTCACACCAGTCAGAATGGCTACAGTTAACAAGTCTGGAAATAACTGGTGTTGGTGAGGATGTGGAGAAAGGGGAGACCTTGTGCACTGTTGGTAGGAATGCAAGCTGGTGTGGCCACTCTGGAAAGCAGTGTGGAGGTTCCTCAGAAAGTTACAAATAGAGCTGTACTGCAACCCAGCAATTGCACTACTGGGTTTTTACCCTAAAGATACAAATATAGTGATCTGAAGGGGCACGTGCACCCGAATGTTTATAGCAGCAATGTCCACAATAGCCACACTGTGTATGTACACACACACACACACACACACACACACACACACA